TATATATATATATATATATATATATATATATATATATATATATATATATATATATATATATATATATATATATATATATATATATATACTTTTAAGAACACCACTGTAATAAAAACACATATAGTTTTTTCAAAAAAAAATTGTAAAAATTGGCTATTTTTCGACCTCCTGACTGCACGTAACCCTTTAAGGGGAGAACTCCACGTAATTCGGAAATATCGATTTTTTTTTATTTAAATCGAGTCCTTGTTATATGGGAAATATAATCCTAAAGTTTTAGAACCCATTTCGAAGTATTAATGGGACTACGGACACTTATATCTGCGCTGCGCGCAAGTATAAGAGTCACCCGGCGCATCTTGGCCGGATCCTTCCCGTTTCTCGATTCAATCCCTTTTGTGCAATAGACTTTAATGTTTTTTAGTGGCCGAGAGGTGCTTGGGAGAGCATACACAGAATATTAATGAGAGTCTAAATACAATGATCTGGCGACTAGCTCCCACATTTATTTTCTGGCACTAAAATAATAGAAGTAGCTGCTTATGCTGCTACTAGCATATTTAACGAGGGCTATTCTGCAGTGCTAAAAATAATGGATGTTTTGGACCTTAAAATTGACTAGCAATACAAAATTTACGCCGATTTATTGGACAGTAAGCGATTGAGCAGACAGAAGCACCAAGTTCGTAGCAGCACAAAGGAGGCTTTAATAGCTCATAAACAAAAAAAAATTGCAGAAAATCAATTTTTCGAAGAAACAAAAGGTCTATTGTATGGAGCTGGAATTGCAGAATAGTCAAAAAGAGCCGTGAGTTTCCAAAAACTGTTATTTATTTGCTTCGTTAACTTAAAACGCGTTTTTTTCAGAACTATTTTTTCACAAATTGCGTACATCATAACTCAAAAACTATTTAACCAATTGCGTTGCGCTTATGCGTGCATATACATTATTACTTTTGTAACAGAATGAACCTAAATATTATAAATATTTATTTATTTAAACAACATTTTTCAAACAATTAAGATGAAAATTTTCCGTAAAATTAGAACCTTTTCTTTCGAAGTCGTTTATTTTCACTAAATTTCCTCTTTTTTTAATAAGTTTAGGTTCATTCCACGTGGTTTTTATTAAAAAAAAACAAATCTTCTAGAATTTCTGTTGCAGAATTAAAATTGAAACCGCTAGAGTATATGAAAGTTCATCTCATCAAAAACGAGGTCTCCGACATCGACCTCCATTAACCATTACTATTTCTCAAACCAAATATTTTCTAGTTCTTTGAGTGTGCATTTAAATATACTAAAAGTTTCAAAAAGATTTATCGAATAGTTTTTTTGTTTTTAATCCCTAAAAACTGCCTATTTTTCGGCTCATTTACGTGGAGTTCTCCCCTTAAACCAGCGTCTTAGATCGCTCGGCCACGCTATCATGTGTTCTTCTTTGATATCTCTGTCACTGACTCTAATTACTGAAAAATATAACTATATCGTGATTAATATGTTGAATACCGTGATGATTATGAGTCAACATTATCTGGTTAAATTAAGGTAAGTTATAATAATCAATTTTGTGTAAAAAATCGATTGTACAATAAAATATTAATAATTATAAAAAATATATTGTTAAAAATGATAGTATAATATTTTAATATAGTATTATAATAAAAGCTATTATAAAATATTGCGAAATTCTGCTTTAATTTATTATTCTTCTGTTATATACATAAAATATCCCAGTTCTCGCGACTTTAATTTATAATGACAAGTTTTCTGAGTAATTTAGAGTTAATTATAATAAGTGAAAACGTTAAGACTGCAATTAAGGTAATTTCTTTTTAAGATAGAAACAATCGAAAATGAGGAGCTTTTCACGAACTTTGTAATTAGAAATATATATTATATTGAAAGTTGAAAACTCGGCATAAATAATAACTTCCCTCGACATGTTTAATCAGAACGAATTAATTATAAATTTCTCAGAGGTCTGCCGATATAAATTAGAATCACGAGGACTGGGACACCCTGAGTAAAATTTATTTCAGAAATTTGTCTACTATTAAAAAATGTATTAGGATCTTGCTTAGCAAAATTAACACTACTGGTAGTCACTACTGACAATCTATTCTATACACATTACTAGAAAGCATGATAAAATATTCAAAAGATTTTACAAGCTATATATTCTCTTAATGTATTAAGAACGCGTGCGCGCGTTAATAAGATTAGATAAAAGATATAAAAGATATATGCATCTCCAGAGATATTTCTTTCCTTTAGTAATTTGATCATCAGTTAAACTCTGTTGTGCAATCAATGAAAATCAGCGCAATAATCAATGTATTAATCAGATATAAATGAAATCCTGTCAAGAGTGTATTAAAGAATCTAGCACTACATGATACACTACCCAAGAATTAAATAGTAGAATGCTAATTAAAATATTTTTAATATTAAATGTTCACTGTAGATTGCAATGACGTAGGTCTCATATGATATCTCCCAATTCTCTTTTGCCATTTTACCTGATGGATTATATCACGAATTTCCATGGGCACTGGGAAGTTCCTGTCGACATCATCGCCTTCATCCTCTGAACTTGGGAAGGGTTTCGCTTCCTGTTGTTCGTCACTACCATCTGACCGTTGGCGGCCTTCGATGTTACCATGCTCGATCAAATTTCTCACTTCCACCGGAAGTGGGAATGGTCCTAACGGTATCGGTCGCGCGCCTGGGAACGGCTTGAGTTCCTGTTTGCGTGAGCGACATAAATTACAAAGTACAATAGTTCGTTATATATTATTGATGTCGTGATTACTCTTACTTTATAATTTTATAAAGATCTCTTCGTCTTCTTCTCAAAATTACTTTGAGCATGAAACGCTTACCTCACGACGTGCCCCTTCCGGTACTTGTACCGGGAATGGTCTGGCTTCGCCAGTGATATGCTGAATAATATTCTTGATCTCCAGCGGTACTTGCTGAATGATTCTTCTGATTTCAATAGGGATACCTTGGAATGGAGAGCGCGGCTTCTCGGGCGTGACCTGAGATGCGACCGGCGGTCTTTGTTCGGTCTGCGGGATCATCACGGGTTGATGTATTCTCTGATCTTGGACCTGCGCCTCGGGTTGCGGAGGAGGAGGTGGTGGTGGCATCATGGCAGGTCCTTGTTGCTCTTGGTTATAGGCATTGGGAACTTGCTCGGCTTGGTGATACATAACAGAGATCTGCGGCTGCGGCTCCTGACGAGGCTCCTGAGCCATCGGCCGCATATTCCTCATAGAATCCATTGGGAAGTGACGTAGTTCAATAGGGATCTGACGCACCTCGACCTAAATAAGAAAGATGGTTGAGTGATCGCCTACTGGGGGCCAAACGAACGATCTACGACACTTTTATTCACGATAATGCACAGAGTTTGTTGTATTGCTTAACATGTTTACCACGGTTCATTTCAAAATCCTCCCCACAATTCATTATCTATTTTTGTTGTGTAATTGTGTACAACAAAATTGGTTTTCCGGCTCAAAACATTTATATACAAATTTTGTCTCAATATCATAAGTACATAATCATATATGTAATTATATATGTCTATACCGAGGAAAACATTATTGTACAAATACAATCGAAGTAAATGTTTATGTTTTTAATAGCCATGATGTGAATATTTAATGAAATGAAACTATTTCTTTCTTTCTGCATTCAACAACGTTTTTTCATGTGGATATATATAATTATAAATGTGTAACTATATAAAGGCAAAATTTATATTATATATGAATAATATATTAAGAATATTATATATAACTTATATACACAGAATATCTGACATTCATGACCTACCTATTGTGTTTAGATAAAACTTATCAAATTGAACACAAAATTCGTGTACCATTCCGCAAACAATCATATAAAATTTTGAGTTATTAAGGGGATGCTGAAGCTGAAAACTTTACTGATAGAACATTGACATTTTTCTGCAAAGTTTACGTCATATTAGTTAAACAGAATTACAAATGCTTTTACGCAATGAAAGTACGTGCATAAATAGAAGTATTGCTCGATATATGACGAGAACGAACAAAAAATTTTTAATGTATAATCTCATTACGCTATCAATTAGCGTAATATTTGCCTAATCCAAAAGTTCCGCAGCTTGTACATAACGAAAGTGTGGATGCTCCAAACAGAAAAATTTGAAAGAACATTGGTCTACATTGGTCACATCTGTATTTGGAAGTTTAAGAATATCGAAAAGTTTACAAAAAGATTTCTACACATATATAGTTAGGTTTTCCGTTGAATATGGTAAAACAAAGCAACACACATTCATATAAGTTCTATATATATATATAAGAAATATGAAAAGGATAGCGTGATTATCCCGAGCAAAAATGCATCTAATAGAGCAGATTTCAAGACTAGTAGCTAGATAGTAATGACTAGATAACTTTTCTAGTCAGTCAGTAACTTGTGACTGGTTAAATATTCCTATTCAGTCTTTTGAATGTCAGGACTATTTAGTAACTATACTAATTACATAATAGTGGCTAGATGTAAAAGATTATACAGTAATGAGATAGAAAATCATCGATAAATCTTGAATAGAAATTGGATATCAGAACTGTCTAGTACTTATACCAATTATAGTTAAACATTATTTATTTGTATCTAGCTACTAGATAATTTTTCTGGTATAGCCATTAGGAGAAGAGAGCGTTACATTGCTAGCTAGCGATGTAAGACCCAACTTTCTGTGACATTACTAGACAATCACTAGATTCAGTTTCTGCTCAGAATGTTAGTGACGATCGTCTATGCACTATCGACATTGTTCGAGTTCGTCATCGACTCCAGCATCCTCTTAATTAAAAAAGATTAGATTCACACACGATACGATAGATGAGCTATGATAGCGATATATGTTATCATGTGTTTTTACATTAAACCAAACTGAACTTGTACGTGTAGATTAAGTGAAACTAAAAAAAAATTCCATTACGAACAACTATGTAAAATTTTTAATTATTAATTATAGAAGATTGGCGAATAATCGTGTATGATCGTGTATAAGGCGAGCGCTGATTAACACAGTCCATACATTATCTTTACAACGCTTCTCTCACAGAGTCACGTGATTATTCACCAATCTTCTTTAACAAATGATTAGAAATTTTACGTAATTCGCAAAATAGTAAGGAAATTTTTTTGTTTACTTTAACTTAATCTACACGTATACGACATAAATATGTTCAGCGTAACGGTCCGCACGATTTTTTAAATATTTTCGACGATTTAAGAAATAAGTTGCAAGATGAATTTTCAATTGCTTCGTACAGACTACAACTTGCAATAACGAAAGGTAAAAAAATTTTCTTTTCATAAAGAAATTAAGATCACTCTGAATCTTTTAAATGACACCACTTTTTTTATGTAATATTGTAGAGCATTTTAAAATAAATTCAATGTAGTATCACAAATACTTTTGTTCATATTCACTTCTGTTAAGATTTAATATCAAATATATGGCTTATTATTTTATAATTGCTTATAATGCACGAACAGTTTAAAATAATGTTGAAGATACTTTTGGAAAAAAATTATTCATATTATAAGTACACATGAACTAATCCGATGATAGCCTTATTCTTCAGATTTTTCTCCAATGGATTTTTTCTTGTAGGGATATCTGCAAGCTCTTGGCAATTAATTGGTGTATCAAACACCAATTAATAATGTTCAAGATTTTCGAAAAAAAATAATTATAGCTTGTGCAAATTTAAATCCAAATAGCACAATAGCTGCTACACATAGTAAATAAATTTGTTAGAAAGAGTAAAATTTTGTGTGTTACAGAAGAAAACAAACAATTTAAATATTTGTTTCCATAAGTTAGAGTTTTTTCTATTGTTTTAATATTATTATTAATAAAGATGATATTTATGATAATACGTTAAATTTATTTTAAAATCTTCTACAATATTGTATTCTACAATATGTAAAAAAAATACATGGCAATATTTAAAAGATTCAAAATGATCTTGATTTCTTTATGAAATAGAAAATATATTTTTTTACTTTTTGTTATTACAAGTTGTAGCATGCACAAAGCAATTCAAAGTATTGAAAATTCATCTTGCAACTATTTTTTTAAACCATCGGTAGTGTTAGAAAAATCGTGCGGATCATCACATTGAACACCCTGTATACTATGGTCAGACAGCCTGCATAATTATATATAATGTTTTTTTAGGTTGTTTATATGAACATGTTGTGGTAGAGAGAGAGCAATGTTAACAGATGATGGGTCTTACTTGAGGTCCCATCGGATTATTTTGAGGTCCCATCATGGGTGTTTGCGGGCCCATTCGAGGCGGTCTCATCTCCATAGTTAACTGAGGCAGGTTACGGAGCTCAGGAGGAAGTAAACCGGGCGGTATGTGATTTAATCCTCGTGGGTCGCTGAGCGGCAGTTGCTGCATATCAGGAACTTGATACTGAGTGTGTATCTGATATTGATGGTAACCTGGATTGGGTTCTTGAGACTGTAAAGGAATTTGTACAGTACCAAGAGGCACGATGATCGGAGTGAGCATTTCCTGTTCCTGTTGCCTATAAGAGACAGGGACGATGGCATTAAAACAAACATAATAACTCTGCTTTCTCAGATGATTTCACTTGACACTAATCACGTTAATTTGTAGATTCCCTTCTAGCAGTAAACTTACTCCTGGTTTGGACTGCCCGACTCACAAAGGATGGCAACTCGCTCGCCGCTCAGTCTCTGGAAACGCTGCGGATCAGTACTGTTATCCAGACCGTTGTCACCGGTTCCGTCCATCACCTCGTCAGCCCGTCGTCGTTCAACCACGCAGGAAACTCTGCTGCGAGCTTGCTGAATTAGCGTCTGAAAAGTAATTATCGTGTCAATGAAGAAACGAAATTTTAATGAAGCGTAAAAAATGAAACTCGCGTGTTTAGCGTCAAACAATTGTCTATATTGATTAAATTGTTCTACAAAAAAAATTTTATTTTGTTACATGAATCAAATTATATGATCTACGCAGAAAAAATATTGCAATAAAAATTAAAACAAAGTTTTGTAATCTTGAGCTAGAAATTATGACGGAAATATATATATATATATATATATATATATATATATATATATATATATATATTTTTTTCTTTTGAAAATAGTATGTATATTTTACTTTTTGCTATATAATATATATTATAATTATACTTGAATATTATATCATATATTCGATCAAATAGTCAAATTTATTATTTCTATAATAATTTATACTACACATCAATATAATGCAAAGAGAGAGAGAGAGAGAGAGAGCTTTATAAAAAACATTAAAAAATTAAATATAGTTCTAATATAATTTTTACTACATATAATAATTAATATAATATAATTAATATAATATAATATAATTTTTACTATAATATTTTCTTTTTGTATATTTTATGCAGAATTAAAAAATATAATCAGATGTTTTCTATTACGCTGAATTTTCTAATGATGTGATGTTAAAGTTTAAAAAAAATTGAAATGTCTTTTATATATTATGCAGACATGACTTACGTAATTTAAAATATAGAAGTTAATAATTTTCTGCTGTATTTGGCTTGTATCATGTTTCCTTTTAAAAAAGATTTTATATCAGTTTTTATATTGTACCTAATAAAAAAAATTGTAAATAAATTCTTATAAACAAATATACTACTGAAGAATTTTGTACGGGAGATATTTAATATTGATACTATTTTAATGTAAAAACTTTAAAATTAAATCAAATTGGAAGAAATACATGCAGTGTTCAATATATATGTCTACTGATATCGGACAGCCGAAATTTGGAAAGGGGGACAGATATTATAATGTATGATATACGTACACCAGCGATATCGTCGAGATCCAATTGAAGAGGGAGCTTAATGTGCACGGGAGGGAACTCATCATCATCGTAATCGTCATCATCATCGTCGCGGTCGCCGCTCTCGCTGTCAGATTTCGAGCTGTTCTCCCCTTCTCCTTGGACTTTCATATCCTTGGTATCCGAATCGGCCTCCTTCTTCATCGGCGTAGCAAGGCTTTGAAGAGAATCCTTCGATTCGACAGATTCCTGCAAGCGAAACGAAAATTTCTTTTACGTCCTAGAACTTTTATGAATTTATTTTTAAATAAAATAAAATATAATTATTATTAACTATTTTCTTCTTAACAGCACAGCATTATTAACAACGCAACGAGTATCGTGCATTTCAACAAAAGAAAAGATAAATTTGGAAAATATTGAAATATATTATTTTATAAAATATGTGTATAAGATAAATTTATAGCCTTAACAGATTGGCTTGCGAGAGAAAACTTGAGAAACGAAGACGATAAGTCCTCGATGAGAAAGAAGATGAATATTTCTCGAGGCTTCGAAAGCTGGACAAATATCGCCGCGGTAATCATCGTTCGTTGATGCAACTCGTCTTCCTGGTCGCGACATCGGGTCACGAGTGAAAGTGAACTCGCTTTATATTATCGCACTATAACCCTCGCGTATGCGAGAAATCGTACGCGAACGAGAAGACGCTCGAATAAACGGATGATTTAGCGTAATCCTTTTTTGTGTACGTGATATACCATACATATTAAGCCATATAAATAAATTAATATTACATTAAATTGCCATTAGAATATACAAGGCGTTCCCTAAATATTGCCCAATATTTTAGAAATTGATTTTTTAAATAATTTTATGAAGAAATTTCGTACGTATTCTAAAAGTCTCGTTTTAAAGATATAATGAGTTAAAAATTTCATAAGATTTTATAAAATAATCGTTTCTTTCCTTAACAGTTCTTAAACAGAAAGAAGTTTCTTTTTTAAAGTGGAGCTAGTAAATAGGCAACGTATTATCGTTATTTATTATCTATAGTCAACGTTTTGCAAGAAGAAGTAGCGTAGAAACGAAATTTAAGTACTACATTACTGTCTCGAACGTGTACGTTAATGGACAACATTAAATTTTTAATAATAATTATTATTTTATTAATTATCTACAATATTTTTTGTACTAAAGTACTGTTAATAGATTTTAATGAAGCCATTAGTTTAAAAGATATTTGCGTTTCAATATTTTAATATGTCTTATTTTATGAATGCAAAATACGCATTTATCTTTTATCTTCAACTAGATACGTTTTCTTCAGTTGTGATACACCACTAGTAAAAAATTTTGTTTCTCTTTTGCTAGTTTCTTTTGATATTTATGATATTTTAAAGTATCTCAGAGAATTCTTAAAATCTTGTACTTTCAAAACAAGACTCTTAAGACAGTATCCTGTATACAAATTTGCCATTTTCAAGATACAACATAGATTCTGATTAGAAATCCAAATTTTATCTTGAAACTAGAAATCTCATTCTTTTACTAAACATGAGTTCTTTATTTAAGATCGAAACAGAAATACTATGAGAACATATTTTGTTTCAATATTTATGATATTTATTTATGATATTTATTTATAATATTTACTAGTTCGACTTTAAAAAAAAAATTTTTTTTTGTTTAAGAAAGAAACGATAATTTTATAAAATTTTATAAAATTGTTAATACCTTATATCTTTAAAATGAGACCTTTAGTATATGTCCATATGAATTTTTGCTTATAAAATTACTTTTTACACTTTGAGCACTTTGATAAATAGTAAAATTAATTAGGAAACCAACATGTTTTATTCAGTTCTCTAAATCGAAAAGATATTAGAAAAAGTTTTTTCACTTAGAATCATATGTTTGAAATTAATAAGAACACATAATTATTTTAAAAAATCTAACTGGATTCTAATTAGATCGCAAACAAATTTTTTTATGTGAGTATAAAAATTTTCTTTCATAAAATATTAGGACCTTAACTTAGTTTCCGCCCAAAAAATACTGAGAAAAAGCATTTATTGTAAAAAATTTATTTAAATTATTTCAATGAAAGTATTTTCCATCACTTTCTACAACTTTTTGCCATCTTTCTGGCAACTGGGCGATACCATCTCGATAAAACGATGTTTGTTTCGAAGCAATCCATTCGTCCACCCATTCTCGCACTTCTTCAACATTTCGGAAGCGTG